GACTCGAACACCCCCTAGCTTGAGCTCAACTCGACTCGTTTGCACCCCTAATTCAGACAGGCCCCAATGTGCCAACCCCAAAAAAACGATTTTGAATGTGAAATGTTTGCCAACAAACATATGAAATAAAATATTCATCATAAGAAAGTCAATTGGGGTGAATATCAAGATTGACAAGAAATAATGCCAAACTTTAAGGCCGGCAGTTGAGTTCGACTCGAACACCTCCTAGCTTGAGCTCAACTCGACTCATTTGCACCCCTAATTCAGACAGGCCCCAATGTGCCAACCCCAAAAAAACGATTTTGAATGTGAAATGTTTGCCAACAAACATATGAAATAAAATATTCATCATAAGAAAGTCAATTGGGGTGAATATCAAGATTGACAAGAAATAATGCCAAACTTTAAGGCCGAATTTGCATACACCCTATTTTGTTCAACCAGAAAATAACCATTTTTTGTAGAGTTTGTATTGATATTGATTCATTTCATTTGTACAAATAACTACATTCTTTAATTTTTTTTTTCTTCTAAGATAATTTTTTTTTTCTTTTTTTGATACACTTTGTATTGATTTTGATTTATTTCATTTATAAAAATAATTGCATTCTTTCATTAATTTTTCTTTTAAAATATATTTTTTCTTTTTTCGTAGATTTTGATAGACTCTTTGTATTGATATTTTCTGGGTTAAACTATAATTAAAAAAAAAAATTCTTCTAAATACACCATGGGCAGAAGCTCAAAGAGCATCTTAAAATAAACAAAAATAACTCATAGACGTACGATTGAAATTTGTGAATCTTAACTTAAAAAATTATAATACACAGTCATTACACAATCAAATTACAGTTAATACACAGTCAATACACAATGTGTTCCGGACAAAATTATAGTTTAAAAAATACTCTTATACATACACATTGTGTAAAAGTTCAAAAAATATGTCAAAAAAAAAAAAAAACTCATAGATGATTGAAATTTATGAATCTTAATTTTAAAAATGTAATACACAGTCAATATTCACTATATACAACAATTCAAAAAGAAAAAAAAAAAAATATCTTCTATATATACCCTGTGTAGAAGCTCAAAAGTATATCAAAATGAACAAAAAGTAACTCATAGACGATTGAAATTTATAAATCTTGTTAGAAAATATAATACACAGTCAATATACACAATGTATTAGACAAAATCACAATTCAAAAAAAAAAAAAAAATCTTTTATATGCATCCTGCATAGAAGCTCAAAGAGCATCTCGGAATGAACAAAAATAACTCGTAGACGATTGAAATATGTGAATCCAAGACTCATAAAATATAATACACGGTAAATACATAGTTAATACACACTATATATATGACAAAATCACAATTAAAAAAAAATTCTTCTATATACACCATGGGTAGAAGCTCAAAAAGCATGTTAGAATGAACAAAAATAACTCATAGATGATTGAAATCTGTGAATCCTAACTCAGAAAATATAATGCACAATCAATAAATAGTCAACACACAGTCAATGCATGGTGTGTATCAGGAAAAAATTATAATTCAAAAAAATAATTGAATAGTACATTATATCAAAATGTGTGAACCATCAATTATTACAATAAATTATTAACATAAAATCAAATTTAAAGTAATTGTTGCTCTAAGACAATGATATTCATCATCATCCTCATGCATCTAGATACCAACTTACTGGTTACTACCCCATTTATAAATTCCTTATTGAAGCATTTTAGCATGTTTGAGAATTTGATATGTTTTGAAGGTGAAAACATTTCTGTAGTAGTTGACTTCATGATAAATTTCTCTATTGAAAAAATTAAGCTCAGCAAAACATATATTGCCTTATGATTTATATTGAATGACAATTATTATGCAAGTTAAATTTTATTCTTAGGCTTCTTATTCTTCTCCCAAAGGCCCTTCAATCTTGCATTGAAGATGTCTTTAGGCCTACATTTTAGTAGGCCATTCAATTTTGCAATGCCACCATGTGTATTTCCTGTAAATTTATGATTCTTTCTTTTTCCATCAAAGATCAAGTATATGCTTTCAACCATGTTCTTCATTGCAGCCAACATATATTATTTTGCCTCCTCATTCCCCTTAGATGTCTTTCCTTAACCTGTGAGCATACAACCACTATATATATCTTTCTTAGCTCTTGTTGACCATCACAGCTGTAAATACTTCTCAAGTATATTAACATTATCTAGCTGCCTAAAAACTCTCATATAGTGACTACATAATAAATCCATCGTCTCAAACTTTTCATATATGCATTGAATGCTACCCTCTTTTGCATCAAAATAAACAACCCAAAGGATTGACTGGTACTTATTCTTTGTGCTCTTGACAAAAAAATTTTGATGAATGACTTGTTCCACCGGCATTCTATAAATATTCTTCTTCAAAAAAGAATGAAGCTTTCTTGAGTAAAATCGAACAGCTTGATTTAATATTTGGCTGCTTTTTATTACATATACTGCTATAGATTGACTGCATTTGTAATCTCCGACTTTTCATTATGGTGTCATATGGTCATAGGCTTCATTAGGCCATGAAAATAATCAGTTATAAAACTTGTGGGTCTCAACATTTCATGGCACACATTATTAATAAGCTCGCTAAGCTGTGTGGATAGAATGCCCATGTTAAAATAGTCCTTATTGAAAGATATTGATAACTTATTTCTTATCCTATAAAACTCTTCCAACTAACCATTGCTATGGAGGCTCTCTTCTTTGATCATTTCAACTCATATTTTTTTGATCTCATCATTAGGGTCACTTTTGCTCAAACACTTATAAAAGAATCATCTGACTTTATCATTGTTTTTAAAGCAACAAATTTTTGATATAATATTTTTAGAGATGTGCCATTGGCATAATCTATGGCATGTGCAAGATAATGCAACTTTAATGGTTGTCTTGATAAGTAAATATTATAATTATATATTTATTACTCATTATTTGTATAAATATTCAAAAACAACCGCGTAAATAATTCTATCATTTTCTCTGATAATGATTATTAACTCCAATAAATGATGCACAAACTAAATTATATTTATCAAGCATATAGTTAGTATAAAAAATTACAATATTTCAAAAATAGTCATACTCTATCATACCTATCGCATCAACCCAAAAAAGATTTAATAATATGTCAAATTCATCAATTTGGATGTCCAATGCGAACATATTATCATCAACCTGACGATCTTTAAATAATTGAATCAAATAATTAGTATCCCCATATTCAATCTTTGTTGTATGCATCCCTCTTATAGAATTCAACATTCTTGATACCTCAAACTTCATCCGTAAGGTAGGAAAATGCATCAACAGTTCTTATACAGGCTTCTGTCATTGATTTAAGAACTAATGCTTTCTCATCACCCATGTTTCTACATGATCTAAATAGGTGTCGATCTTCTGATCTAGCCAATTCATTATTCTAGCTTTTAATAAATTTTTGCACCTTCCAACATTCATCTTCATCCACTGTAAACCTAATCATATCTATACAACCCATTCTAGTCTTTGATTTTTGAAAATTTGTTTGAGAATTTAAATCAAAATCCTTCTTGAAATCAGATTTTAAACATACAAAGTCCTTGCATTTTATCTTTCTGGAATTTGACTAGTAATTGTAATGATCCTTACGAACACTAAAATTAACATTACAGGCATACATGCAGTACAACTCGTATACCTTTTTCTCATCTTTGTACACATCCTGTGTAGAAGGGTACAAAATGTTAAGAAGAGGAAACACATCACAAGGTGTGTATAAGGAGAACTAATACACAATCTGTGCAAGCTTGTACACAGTCAATACATAGCTTGAATTGACTATATACAAACTTGTACACAGTCAATACAAAGCTTGTACAATGTCAATACATAGCTTATACACATTGTGTGTAAACGAAACAAACAACATTAAAATAAAACTTCCTTTGTTAAAATTTTACCAACAAATTAGAAAAAAAAAATCATTAGAGGAAACATAGATAAATAGTATGTTTATAAACTCTAATAGCTACACATTTATAGGAAACACAGTAAAACTGGAGAGAAGTTTAAAATTTACCGATAAGTTGAAACCTATAGCACCTCTATCGAAATTACTTTCCGTTTCATACCGTAAATTCTTCATTGTTGGTTGCAGTTTTGTTACCTTCAAGTCTTCCTGGGTGTTTGCATACCGTCTTTCAGTCTCCACATCTTGTGAACATGTCATCTTCTCGCAGCATGCAACATCCTCCTGTAAACCAATCTTCATATTCATAGGCTATTCCTCATTTTTTTTCCTTTCTTAACATATATCAAAAGTTTTATTCCGCATATTGGGGAGTTTATTTCTTAAAATGAGCGTCAACCTTAAACCTTAAATTTCAACGGAATGGTTAAGGCCTACAAAAAGTCAAAACATCACTTATGGGCTAGGTCTAGTCATTGAGCTAGGAAGAAAAAAATAAATATAAATATATATTAAAAATCCACATGTACAATTCACGTGTCATGATTTCATTGGAGTTCACACAGAATTACACCGGAACTCCGCGCTTGATAATTTCCCCCCTAATAAATATATTAGGTTAGTTTACGGTGTCATAACATCTAATATTTTTATAGTAGAAGAAAATAAGATATAAATGGATGAGAAATTTCTCTCAGTTTTTTACTTGTATTTGGCAAACAAGATCTTGACAGTCATCTTAGAGAAAATAACTGTTCAAAATTTATGTCTCAAACTATATATTTTATGCATGACCAAAATCCTCTCCAAAAAAATTTATAAGAAGCAGAGAATATGCCTACTTCGCATGTTATCTGAAGGTTCATTGAAGGTTATAGGAAGATCCAATAAGTCTTCCTAATGAATAAATGATACTTCTTTCAAAGAAAGTGATTGATCATTTTCATGCCGAAACATATCAAAATTCTCAATCAATAAATGATACAATTCACAAGTTTTGCAATGAAAAATCTTCAAACCATCAATGGTGAAAGAAAATACAATCATCACAACAGAAGCACAATCAACCAATTAGAATTATTTGAATTTACAGAAACTAATCACCATGCCTGCTTCTCTATAGGGGGAACAGAAGCAAGTTAATATGCACAAAAATGAAACAATGAACTAACAGATACAAACCATTTACAGAATTCACCAAGCGACAATTGATGGTCGACATTGAAAGAGATAAAACAGCTCAAGTCGACTGGCTGCAAATCCTCTCAAGTTAAGAGCAGCAACCGCCACCTGCGCTTGCTTGTCTCTCTTGTTTCTGTTTCAAGATGGTATTTTTTACTACAGTAGAGCCTTCCTCAAGTAGACTTGGCACCTCCAAAATCTGATATTTTAGGGGAAAATGGTTGAAACAAGTATTTATAGCTGCTTAACATTATGAAATTTGAAACATAGGCTTCGTTTGGGACAGAATAGGTTTAGACTACTGCTTTTTCCCAACTTTCAAAAGATTTTTGTACTAAAAAGTAGCTTTACAAAGCATTAAGAAAGCCGTCCCAAATGAAATTTTTGAATAAAATGGTTGAAACAAGTATTTATAGCTGCTTAACATTATGAAATTTGAAATATAGGCTTCGTTTGGGACAGCATAGGTTTAGTCCATTGCATTTTCCCTACTTTCAATAGATTTTTAACTGAAAAATATCTTTACAAAAAGTACGAAAGCCGTCCCAAACGAAGCCATAAACATCCAACTGCATGCAAAAGGTCTTGGTCGGATAATTTGATAAGATGGCAAAAATGTTTGAGATAGTATCATCACATTCTTACTTTTTGAGCAACATCCAAGGGGATTGTCACATAAGTGTAATGTTGCATGGGAAAAATCAAGCTTCTGTACAAGCTAATAAGCTGTTTCCGTTGCCAAACGTCTGATAAGAGCAGGAAATGATCACAATGACATTATTTGTTCCAGTTGAAATATGGATAGATCCATAGTACTATGTTTCTTAATGGTGAAGATAACTTCTACTATTATCATTGTAATCATTGCATGCTGCTTTTCAGTTACATTGAAAAGAAGCTACTTTTGAGGTTGAATATTATACCAACAGATTTGATAGATAGAATAACAATTCTCAATTAAGAGGATAAATTAATTGATAGATTTGAAATGCAAGCGTTGGAACATGAAAAAAAAATTGCACAATCTAAATTATACTGCGAGCAGAATTATTGGCCATTAAGTAAACTATCATAGATGAAATGATAAAATGTCAACGTTAGTTTTCACATGTATTGATACAGACTGATGGGTCTATGTTTAGCGTATACCTTATGTGCGAGTTCGTTGAAACATTTCTCCACATTTGCTCTTGTTTTGGCACTGCATTCAAGAAAAACGCATCCATATTCTTTGGCAAAGGCAATGCCTTCTTCTTTTGTTACCACCCTTTCACTCTCCTGATAAAATTTAACTGATATGGTTAGGATGATAGAAACATGAGCGCTGAATCTTTGAAATTAGCCTATGAAGTAAATCCAAAAGGTTAATTGAATTCAGAAAACATTAGCTATGAGAATATAGAAAAAATAAAGAAGACAGAAGTTATCAAAAGCACAAACAAGGATATTTAAGTGAACTTGTTGCGATTTCTTCTTTTCGGGTGAGGTTCTTTTTTTTTTTCTTTTTTTCTTTTTTCGCGTGCAAGGGCTGCAAGGGGCATAGAACTGCCTTAATTCAACATTGAAGATTTTAACTCAAGCAAAAAAATGATCAAGTTCCAGCCCACCGTCGATATTCAAGCATTGTTTAAAATTGTGCAATATGAGGCTCATCTTGAGGACTGCCTCATCACAATTCTAGTGAAAAATGCCTCGAGCTTTTTTTATGAGGCTTACAATCTTGGCTGAGGCGTGCCTCACTCTATTTATGTATGTTTTTTTTTTTATTAAAACTTAGCTAAATTGTATAAATATTATGTTATTTTTCTCCTTATTTATCCAAGCTAGAGTGCCTTAATTAAAAATCGAAGAGCTTGACTTGAGTAAAAATTTACAAACTTACGACCTTAATTAAGCTAAGCAAATTAAGTTTACAAGTATACATATATCATCTCAATTAGTTTAAGCCAAGCCATAATAGCCCGCGGCATAAGAGCTCGCCCCTAGAGCATTCGACCGAAGATGCGCTCATTCTCAATGGGCTACTCCAAAAGAATCATCCTAGTAGACCTTCACCTTGAGGGCACTCACCATAGGAAAAATCGTCTCTCCATCAACACTTGTTTTTAATCAAGGCCATTTGCCATTCATAAATATCCATAATTAAACTAAAAGAAACACACACCTATAAAACCCAAGATTACAAATTCATTGTCTAAACGTGTCCCTAGCTCACAGTCACTTCCACCCAAAGGACTCATCTCTCTTCCTAGAAACTCGCATTCAGAAACTCATTCTATATGTCAGGGTCCTAAAGACTTACCCCCAAACACTCACCTCCAATGACTCATCCAAGGCACTCGTCCCCGAAGACTTTATCCCAAGGCTGGCCTCCAAAGACTCACCCAAGATATCTGCCTGAGAGGAAGAGGGCCGCATCAAACATAGGGGATCACATGTACATCATCAAGCTAGTCTACTTGTATATGTCAGCTTATATTAGTCATATCATTTACTTTTTTTTATTTATTTTAAGTGTATAATTTCCTGGGCAAAGAGGCATATTTTAGACTTCATGCTGTGACGATTAGTTACAAAGATATTAGAACTTCCTACTTACTTTCCATACCCACTAGCTTCTCTCACTTGATTCTCTAATTCTAATCTGCTAAGAACTTATTAGTAAAGTCGAATATTATCTTATGAACAAATTTAAATCCAACATCTTCTATAGTGCAATGAACATAGATTGATGTCAGGGACCAAAAGACAACTACGGCCAAATGGTATAACTAAATTACACTGGCTCTAAATTCTTGACTCATAAAGTTCTCGTAAAATGAGGGCAAAATCTCTGGTTAATGTTTTATTTAAAAACCAATATGCCTTCTGAAAATTTACCCGGAACCTAAACTCGTTAAAACTCTCCTCATCAACAAACAAAAAAGAAAGGATCGCGAAGAGGCTGGGACGCGAATTTTCAGAGCCCACACCCCTCTTAATTCTATAAATAAGGGGTAAAGAGGCATGTTTTACACTTCATATTGTATAAATTACTTCAGAAATATTAGAGCTTTCTACTTACTTGACATACCCACTAGCTTCTCTCACTTGATTTTTTAACTCTAACCCGCTTAGAACATATCAGTAAGTCCGATTATCATCCACAAACAAATTTGGAACCAACAATCGTACCCAATTGGTCATGGTTTTCAAAAGGGCATTGTCATGAAAGTGATAAATTTGTTATATTAAATGATTGCATTGATGTTCTTCTTGTATGTTGCACCTCGACTCGATCTAATTCATTATTGTGAAGGGGTTATATTGGGTTAGGGTTTAACATCAATAGCCCACCACACTGTCTTCGCACCTATGTGAACCTATTAACCATTTTAAAATGGAACACTGATCCAAATAATGCATCCATCCCCACCTATCATTGTACCACACCTTTTCTATAGCATGCATTTATTCCTCCGTCTATAACCTCATCAAGCCCCTCATGTCAATCCTTGGCTTACTTGCATATGACATGTCTATCACTACCCCTCACATTCTTCTCTAACAAAACCCGACTGTATTACCCTTAATGCTTTGGTTCCTCACCGCATGCAACACTAAGCCTGTCAAGAATCTCTATCACTAGACAATAACCCACCATTATGCTTCACATAAGTTACAAGCCATCATTTTTGCATGTTTGCACCCTAAAACCATAGGTCCTGTCACCTTGCATTCATCCACAAGCTTCATGCTTCTTGTTTGGAAAGTGTAGACCACCAAATTGGGAATAATAACTTCTATCTATAATAAAATCCCCTTCCATAAATGTAAGTTAATTAATCCTTCATTAACTCAAATACATTTTCTTAAATCCCAACATCCTTCTTAAACCTCATGTCATCAAAATCTTACTGTAATGAAAAATATTCATATAATCCTTGCTTTAAAATGATTATTACTCACCTAATCATGGAAGATCTCTTAGACATGCATCAGATACTCCTTACTTTGATCCTGAAAAAAACCTCACCATCACTTGGAACCCATAACTAAATTTTTAAGTAGCCTATGTCTTGAACATATAAAAATATATCAATATGATTGATGGCAGCAAATTGAAAAAATTTCTCAAAATGATAATGAAGCTCATTATATTACTTGAATAAATAAATTGCTTGTTAAAAAAAAAATCTTATAATTTTGAAGATCATAAAAATAATTATGTTGATCAATCTCTATGGTTATTATATTATTATCAGAATTGTGATAAACCTTATGATCACTATCCTAGATATGATCATTATGTTAATCAATCTCATTGATCACCACATAATCAAAATGAGGGTGCATCTTACAATAATTGATCTCTTAAATTTAAATCTTATGACTAATCAGCACAACCATCATATCACCCCCGATCCCAAGACACATAAATCGAGACTGATGATTATAGATCTCCTCGTTCTTCACCATACTAGCAATCATTTACTCCCACTAGTGCATGCACCTCATGTAAATCTCTCTCAACATGTATATGAAAGAAAGCATCAGGTATTATATGCCTAGCAATGCAAGCAAGCGTAAAAAGACTAAATCAACAAATTTTGCAAAAAACACAATTACAAAAGGCACCTGAACTCAAGAATCATTTGGATCCTTCGAAATACTAGATAATTCAAAGATAAACCATCCATTATCGAATAGTGATTGCGATAATGTAGAAGTGGAGAAGCTAGATGTTTACATGTGATACACAAGAATGTGTGCTATGATGAAAATATTGTTTTATTAGTATCCATATTTGATGATGTATTTGTGATAGACTTTCAGTGAGTTACTGATATATTTTCTGTACTTGATAAGACAATGCCTGATATAATAAGAGATGTCAATCTACCAAATGAGGTTAGGTTTGAGCCAAAGTTTAACAAAGTATGGAAGAGATAGATGTTAATCCCGAGTCTTAAAAAGCATTCCATTATCATTGATCATCCTCCTCCTATGCTATTGCCCACTCGACCACTGATTGAATTTTTCTTTCCATTGCCTATGCTATTGCCCACTCGACCACTGATTGAATTTTTCTCCATTGCTTCCACCACCGAATTGTCATATAGGTGCTCAAGCATAGTAATCTCATGCATGGAGATGACTAAATTCTCCAACAAGTGTTAAGACTATTGTGTAGGATGCAACTTAGTTCATTGTATTTTTCATGTTTCCTCGTACAAGTTGACTTCATACAACCACCATAGTTACGACCATACTATCATAACATCCTTGCCTATGTTATTAATATAAATCATGATATATATCAAAGTTCAATTCCTAAGCCCACAAAATCTCCATAGGTTGATGATCAATCACAAACACTTCATTGGATTCTCATTTATGTGGACCACTAGACTATAGCACCTATCTACTTCTGAGTGTATCTTGAGAGGTGCATAATCCAACTCTGCTTCCATCACCATCATGACCATCACATTTCAAATCTTCGGGCAAAAAGTTTCTTTCGACCAAGGTGAATGATGTAAGATTCTTTCCCATTTAAATCCAATAATATCTCCATTCAATTTTTACACATTTTCCTATTGTTTTGCTTGTTAAATACATGATAGGGATACATAATATGTTGTCATAATACTTTCAACTATTTCTATTATATATTGAAAACCCTATTCTATATAAAGTGTGCCTTTGGGCTATATGAGGATAACATTAACGATTTAATGCAATTGAATTCCTCTTATTCTTCCTTTTTCCAATATTTCCCTTCTCACCCAATTACCTAGTATGCATCATAACTAAAAAATCATATCATCTAAATAATCTAATCTAAAATAAAACTAATCCTAATATAAATAAAATGAAATTATTATAAAATTCTAAATAGTACAAAATACTAAAAAAATATTCTATAAATAATCTAAAATTATTTTTATGCATTTCTTATACTATGTCAATTACTTTGGGACAAAACTCTTGTCTTAAAGAGTTATGCATAAGCACTTTCCATGGAAGATTAGTTTCCATGGTGGAGACGGTGGAACCACTTTATTATATCTCTTAAACTCTTCAACGAGTGATATGTAGACATAGGATGTACAAGATGGAAGCTTCAAAGCTAGACACCATCATACATTTTCCTGTGAATGGTACTATAGATATCCCATGGTCACATTAAATAGCAAAAGTGGTTAAAGAAATTCAATGTTTTTTTTTAAGTGAGGAAGTAGGTAGCAATCTTGAAGCTTGTGGAATAACTCCTACATTTAATATATATATATATATATATATTTAAGAATATCATGATATATTGATCGACTTCTCTTCATCTTAATAATGTTATTTACCATCTTGATAATATGATTTTGAATTGTAATATATGAGATGATCACATAAATAACCATTATAATATATATTGATGGCATTCATATTCTTTATAAGATAAAGGAATATCATATGAATATTTATAGTAACAATTGTATTATTACGATTAACGAGAGAACAAAATGATGTAGGGAGAGATCAATGGGAATCCTATTTTCCATGAGATAGAATCTATGAAAGAAAGAGAAACTAGAAGAGAGATGGAGAGGAGAGTCGAGAGAATAGGGAGGAAATCTATTAAATTTTATTTATAATTCAATCATAATCAAAATAGCAATCATTCACCCTTATTTATATAACTATCTTTAAACAATAAAATCAAATTAATTTCAATTAAAAACTCATATCATCTAACTCAAAATAAGATAATTTGATTAAATAAAATAAAACTAAAATAAATTTGAAAACTATATTAAACACAAAAATAAGAAATAAATGTTCTAGGATTATTCTTTACGCGTGGTTTGTACTTTTCCTGATATGCATATCCTTATATGTACATATAAATATATGTTAGTTGCTCACAGATTATTTTCTTATAGAGTGGCTCGTCCTTGAAATATAAAAAGAAAATAGATATAATTTTAATGATAGGTTTTAACGGCATAAATAATAAGGATGAAATAAATGGCTAACCACATTATCATTCACATAAAAGCATGCATAATCACCCTCACTAGAGATAACTGTCTTTTTAAGTCTAGCCATATTCAGAGCACTCTCAATCAAAAACAAGCAAGGATTCGTCCATAAATCCATAAACAACCTGGTGCTAAACAAGTGTAGTAATCTCCAGGACACTGAATTCAGAATCCAAGGAGATCTCCGCTAGCATCTTGTACTCAGATCATGGCACAAGAAATATGGATTGATCTCATAGATTGATTCCAACAGAATATTGCCCAAAAAATTCCGAACTTTTTTGTGAACTCTCAACTGTCACGTTATATTTCAACAAAATAAAGACACTATGGAAAGAGCTAAATAACTACCAACGTAACTTGCTTATATGTTCATGTGGAAACTATTTGAGGATGGGTCAAGCAACACCCTGCAGCATCAGATGGAGTACATTATGTCACGTGTAATGGGATTAAACACACTCACTTATGCGTATTGAAATTTTACTTTAAGAACACATTCACTTATGCGTAAAATTTGATTGTGTCGATCAATCTGGTTATTTTATTGTCTCGGACATCAAAGCTTGTCATATACATTGAGGGGTGCAAGGGGTTTACCCTATGCTTGGGTTTGGGTGCAGGTATATTGAAGCAGATCAAGATTGATGGTGGTCTTGGGAAAAAAATTCTTCCGTACAAAGCCTTGGCCACGTGTGCTCGAGCGCCCTGAGCTGAACGGCAAAGAGCAGAGCGCCACAGTGATATAGAAATGGCGTTGTAGTAGATCAAGACAGAGATTTGGTCGCCGCAGCGCTGTGAAACAAACTAGATGGTTTTCTTTCTCGTTTTTCTGAAGGCTTGCGTTCCTTGGGGTTATTTTACTTGGCTTTTTCTTGTATTTTGATAGTAGAGAGATTGAGAACGGTGGATGTGAGAAGAGAAGCAAGGAGAGAGTGAGAGAGAAGAGAGATTTGTACTTTTTTCTCCCAATTTTCATAGTGGATTTCTTGACGTGGTGTGAAACTGTGATTTTTTCCCTATTTTGAGTTTCTCCACGTTAAATCCCAATGTCATTTACTTTTCCGCTACGTTTACTTTCTTGCTTGTTTCGTCATTGTGGTGTTTACTCTTCTTCATCATCATCCCCAACATCACTCGGTAGTGGACTCTCCATAACAACAACATTTGGCTCAAACCTCCTTATTTATCACATTTGTAAAAGAAACTATACATTATTATCAATGCAGCAAGAACTTTCCTAACAAATTTTAGTGGAAAAGACAACTCTTTCTCCTTATTTAATAAACCTTTTAATTTATGGAAGAGTTTTATGGAGCTTTTAGATCATCTTGCTAATGCCTACCCATCTTCACTCAAGTTCGTGGCCAAAATCTCCTTACGGATTCATTACATAAACAAGATTTACTGTGGCCAAAATCTCCTTACGGATTCATTCCATAAACAAGATTTACTGTCACAAGAAAACGTTAGTGCAATCTTGGACAGCAATTGTCCAATGGCAATGGAATCGATGAGATGGCTTTTGCCATCAAAAACCACACCACCTTCACAGACCGAGCATATAGAAAGATCAGACCCATTATAACCATTGTAAAAATCAAGGCCACACAAAAGATGAGTGTTACAAATTGCATGATTATCCTCCTAGCTTTAAATAAGACGACTAATCCAAGAATGAAATGGCTTCCATTACCCAATCCTCTACCATCTATGATGCACAAACACTTCTCAAGGAGGTATGCAGTGCTCGACACGTATCGGATAAGACAAGCGTTCGATACACCCCGACACGTGCAGACACACCAAAGACTTGTCCAATTAAAAATATATATATTAAAAATAAATTAGACACAAGAGCCTTAAACATTTTATAAAATTTTTTAATACAATTTCTTGTAATTCAAATTTTTATTTATTAAAAAAATAAAAAATTGAATTTCTTATTTTCTCTTCACAAGCCCAAATCAATCGCTCGTACTCAACATCTCATTCCCAAAACATTCTCATTTTCATTGCTCTCTAGCGGGTTACAACTAGGGTTTCACAACAATGCATAATGTCATCTCTCTAATGTCGTCACATCATTAATATTTTAAAATCATCTCAACAATGAAGTCTGATGTTGTCTTGATATTGACGTTCAACGCCAACATTATCACGTATATGCTCATTTTGTATCCTATCTCTAAGGGTAAAGTCACTCATCCACGTAAGCATCCTCATCTCTGCAATACTCAACTTAGTATTATGCTTCTTTTTTAATGGCCAACATTCAGCACCATAAAGCATTGCAGCACCATCATCAACAAATTAGTTTGGCTCACCCAACTACTACGTAATTTCCATGTTGAGGCCCATTCTCCTATGCTCATTTTTTATGACAACCAAACTACCATCTAAATCGCCACCAATTGCACCTTTTATGAGCACACCAAGTGCATCGAAATAAATTATCAATTTATCCAAAACAATGACAATTGGCTTTATCAAACTCATGCCCATTAGCTCCAATCTTCAACTCGCCGACATGTTTAACAAGCTATTTGCTTTTGCCTCCCTATCCTCGCTATTATCCAAGATGGTTGTTAAGAATATCTATAATCGATCTTGCGGGAGAGTATTACCAGAGTTGTTTTCACCAATTTCACCATCCTTCTACAGTTCTACCCACCAATCTTTCTCGGATTCCTATTGTTATTTTTTCTAGTATTATCAGATATCCCTATCCTAGCCCTTTTCCATCAATATATTTAGAATAGTTGTATTTGTACTGTCTGTGGAATATATCAATGAAAAATACTTCTTTTGTGTTGTATTCCATCATTCTAAATGCATGCACGCAGATATTCATCAAAACTAACCATTAGATCATATTATATTAGGGGAATGCAGTTGGAGAAAGTGTGCAAAAGGTGGTATCTAATAGCCATTTTTCTATCAAACCACTAAATATCATATTTTTTGATATGAGAAGGAGAAGAATGAACACATGTTCCTTCTCATGCACAACTCGGACAAGACTTTGAAGGTCAAAAGGGAGATAAAAAGTAAAAGGAAAATAGATTCATGCGTCCCTGAACTATTCTAGGGCAATACGTATTAGTATAATAACTAGGCTCTTATGGACTTCCAGGTAAAATTTTGGAGTTTTAGGCCTTGCATAGAAAAATTGGAATGCACAAATCACAACTTTTTTTTTTTTTCATTCAAATGATGAGCATTTTGATAATGAAGACCACATATCATACCTTATCCACTTTATTTGCGACAAGCATTTTGATACAATCTTGATTGGTGGAATAGAGTTCTACTTCTTTTGCCCATACTTCAAATAAGTTGGTGAAAGTTTCTCTTTGAGTCACGTCATAAACTAAAGTGAAATGAAAAAAAGTTAGACCTTCTTAAGTATCAAAAGTGCCAAAAAAAATTTAATGGAGAAAAAAAAAATACAGGTATAGATAAAAGGAAGAAAGAGAACAGATAAAGTGTATTTCCAATAGAAATACAATCGCACCAATCAAGCAGTCTATGATGTCAAAATGGAAATACGTCGTATTCCATGCACATTAAATATTGGATATTCTATAAACTTATTGATTAGAACAAAATGCCCTAATATTACAAGAAAAAAGAAACGAAGAATGCCACTCAAATATCATAATTCAAATGTTTAGAATTGGAATTTTATGTACCATTCTCCAAAAGTTTCTGATGACCAAAAACAAATGACTAAATACTTGTCAGTTCGTTGTTTTAATTGCTGAACCCTGAAATTCTTACGCTTGATGGTTTTTAATTCATGATAAAATAGTCACAGCCATAACGCAAGTTAGATGCTTGTTTCAACCACTCTCAAGAACTGCATTTTATTGTTATGGTTCTCCTTTGTTCTTAATCATATGCTGATTTTTGTCGGTACAGGTTTCAATGCAGTTGAATTTTAAAATTATTTGGCGATTTGTTTATATAAATAATTAAAATATATGAAATCTTATGGGAAAAAATAATGCTTTGAATCATAGGCCTTTGATTAAAAGTAAAACTTCTTGAAGTGTACTTTTAGTTTTTTATTCATTAAATTGATTCTCGCCATCTATGCATAATCACTTTACAAGTGCAGTCTATGTTTGTTTCAAATATATTCTCAATTATATCCTAGTCCCATAAAAGTATAAAACTCATATAGATTATGAATCTCTCTCTCTCTCTCTCTCACTTTGTACATGATAGTCTTTAAAGTCTGCTTGCATTGCATTCGATGTTTAACATCCTAATCATTTGAATATTACAGCAAACAAGAAAAAATAAGTAAATTTATGAAGCTTACGCTGAACAATCAAAAGCCTACGATTTCCTTGGTTAAGGGATCAAGCTCTTTGCTACACATTATTGAATTTTTGTAAACCGAAGTCGACGATCATGAGTGTTGAAATATCTTGAATTCACGGCCAACAACTTTCGGTCTACAAAAATTCAATAATGTGCAGACAATAACTTTCCATGTATAACAATCCAACAATCCGAGGAGATTTTCTTTCATTTTCATGAGCGGCAAAATAGCTGCTAAACTTTCATTTCGTTGTTTTTCTTCTTGCATTACTACACTTCCGGAGCCCCACTCCTGGCGGGACCTAGCAGAAAGTCTCGCTTCTTCAATCAATTCAGATTTAGGTGATTTAGTGTGAATACTTTCCTGATACACCTTGGCATCAAAAACAGCCAATGATTAAGAGAAATTCAACAACAAAATAGTAGTTTCTTTTATTGATAACAATGAAGTAAGAACAAAAGCAAGATACAATGATCCTCTTTCGAGAGCATGATCTTCTCTCCAAATCCTAGACGCCGCTAGGATCCCTCACCAACTATTGGACAGCAAACAAGCACACAAAATTCTGAAATAAGAAAAAAGAAAACCCTAATCTTAGCTTTAAATAAACCCTCATAATCTTCCCTTCTAAATCAGCAACCTTCCTAATAAATTTCCCTCCCCTTATTTGAATTTCAATTAGGAAATTTCTTTCCTAATTGACCCTCTCATATTGTAGTGTATTAATTTGTTGTTGGACCCCACCTCCATACCCGACTCCCCCTCTCCTGTGTCCACCCCCCTCCTCCCAGCCGGTCCAGGCACTGCTGCTCGCGGAAAAGAATCCCCTGCTTGCAACGGGAACCATATCATTTCCATCTATAGCAATGTAGCATTCCGTAAGCAGATACATTCCATTTATTTTATCTAGTTAATTCAAGATTCAAAAACTAAAGACTGATTTTTAAATTTGTCTCTTTCCTAGACAATTATTCATATAGTTGTTTGTACAAATCTTTTAATCTATTTTACACATAATAAGGGAATAAAATTCAATTATAAAATCTCTCATTGTCTACTCACCTCTCTTCCCATTCTAATTTTGAAGAACCACTGTTCACATATTCCTTCAGGTTTCACATCCAGCATATAATTTTTAAGACAATGTCCCATGTAATATCTAAATCTTGTCCATTTACAGAACTAACATTTTACTTCCTTCATTCACTAATTCCCAACCTAATTATCAAATTACGCAAAAAATACAAGCTTTATTCTCAACTTTTCAATAAAAAAAAGTTGACAAGAAATGAATCAGAATGAGACCTCTTCATTTAATCAGATTAAAGTGATGTCATACCTAGAATAATTCCTTGAGCATTTCTGAAATAGGAACTAGTTAGCGTCCTGAACTTCTCCTGCCCAGCTGCAGATTATATTTGAAAGACGAAGAACAACAGGAATTAGGCTAATGGGAATCATATAAATAAAATCCAATACTTTTAACGGATAAATGAGTTAAAAAACAATTGGCAAAGAAAAAATAAAGCACTAGGAGTAATATATAGACTTCAAAGCACCACATTACCTGTGTCCCATATCGTAAGCTTCAATTTCTTGCCACCAACTGTAAGATGTTTAATTTTAAAATCCACACCTGGTAAAGAAATTAAAAAGTAATTGACAATCTGAAAATAAGAATATAAGAGCTAAAACCAAAGTCATCTCTTTGGAAGTCAAAATACAAAAACGCTATTATAATCTTAAAGAGCATCCATAATCTAGATCTAGAACAAAAAGCTATAGGCTGCTGAATCTAAAATCCAGCAACGAAATCAAGATTCTATGCTACACGGATACATGCACAAGTGACACACCACAGATGAAAAATAGAAAGAGAATCATTTGAAATCATTATTAATCTTCTCGTATAAATGGAGAGATTTTTATGTTTGTGTGAGTGTACATAGTAAAAGCACAATTACTGTTCACCACTATGCACACTCACAAAAACCAGACAAAGCTTCGGTCCGGACTCTGAATGTAATAATCTCTTGTATAAATGAAGCGTCGTAGTTAATATTAATAGCAGCAACAGTAGACCCCCTTCATCCTAACTATCTGGGATAATTAAGATCCTCACTATGAGGATCATAAATTACATATAATCATTTTATAGTATTAAGAGCCCTATCTATTTCATCTACACTACTCAATACATCTACAGAGGGTTTTTTTTTTTTTTCCACAAGGTAACCAAAAACAATAGCAGCTTACAAATTCTGCATGATGAAAACAAAATTAACGGCGATTTTAGAAACAATTCTCTTCAAACCAAGATGATAACTTCATCAAAAAAGAACCTTAATGCGATTAAGAACATGACCTTCATAGCTTACAATCTCAAAACCCATAAAACATGCACATAACTAGCTATCCCTTACAGAAAAAATAAGTAGATTCACATAACTAGCTATTAAGTTGGTTTGCTGAGCCATAAATTCTCGTACAAAATCTGAAACCTCAATGAAAAGGCCCCGTAGCTATTAAAAGAAAATGGACAACAAAAATGAGTCATGCCTTCAGAAAGTCAAATGATTAACATTGACTATGTACGATGGAGATACCGATCTCATCAACAAATAACAAGTCCTTCCAATCTCCCAATTTTGCTCCTTCATTATGGCATTCAAAATATCTTCTTTTTCCCCCACAACTTTCACACTTGGAATACTGTTCACGAACTGGCAGATAGAGATAAAATCAATCATCTCTGCCTTTCTTTCCAATCAATGCTTTGAACTAACCTTGAGCTACGAAACAAAGCCCTATAAATATCCAATTATTCATTAAAGAAGCCATAATCATCAGCCTACTCACCAATTATGACATAGCCCCAAAAACCCCAGTAAATTACGAGTAACGCAGCAATTTACCGACTTACATCGCCCACTAAACTGTCAATAATTGAAAAGACGAATGCCAAACATTCAACCAACCGCCTTCCTCTCTCACAAAAAGTTAAAAAATGTCAATTAAACCAAACCCGAGCCATTAATAATAGCAATCTCAAACTCAGAATCCCCAAACCCCAACAGAATCCACTATTTCCAGTCGCAACTGATTCAAAGAAGTCACCACTGAATAAGAAGATAGATGTACCGATTGTGGGGGTTAAATCATCCACATGGTTGGAGATAAAGCTGACGAGCAGACTACTCTTCCCCACTCCAGAATCCCCGATGATGAGGATCTTGAAAGAGTAATCATAGCCACTGCCGAAGCCCGATGACGAACCCATCCGGCATCAATTTCCGATCTTAGGGCGGCGCAAAATCTCCTCTTTCTCTGTCGCTGCTCCTTCACTTTCTGTATCTTCACTCGCACTCTGGGGGTTGGTAGGCGGAGAGGAGAAAGGAAGAGCTGGAGGAGATACAGCGGTGCTGAGAATACAGCAAAATATAGGAAGACTATGAATTAATAATAAATGAGGAGATCATTAATGATTTAGGGACCTAAAATGCAACGCGTCGGCATCTTCGTGCTCTCGCCTGTGAGGACGACGCAGGAAGAAACAAGTTGGAGAATGTTTATTGTGTAAATCCTCTTTGTTTTTTTTTTTTTTTTTGTCAAAAGATATTAAAACCGCGAACATAATAAATTTAAATAATATTATAAATATAAAATATATTCATTAGAAATAAATTTGTATTCAGATATTTTTTATTTTAAAATAATTTA